TCTCTCTAAATAAGGCAAAGTAATGTAAGCTTTCTTCTCTTAGGCTTGAGTTTTAGCAGGGCAAAGCCATGAAAGAAAGGCCTCCTGGAAGATAGACTCAAGAAAAGTGGGGCTTGCTCTAATGTGTCTGGAGGCAGGGATCTGCAAAGGCCAGAGCCTGATAGGCTGGAGCTAGTATGGATGACCACAGCCTAAAATTCAACTTTTCCTGATCATGGTGTCTCCCCTGCCACGCAAGTATTCAACTTTCCTTTCCCTATCTCCTCACAATAGGAAAGTCGGTGAAACTCAGGACTTGGAAAATACCCAGATTAACATCAATCATAACATCAACCAACAATCAACCATATTTAGACCAGACCAGACCAGACATGACACACTGGCTTCAAAGATAAGAAAGTAAGGAGGGCTAGAGAGATGGTTCAGTGGTTATGAACACTGACTGCTTTTGCAGAGGACTCTACCTGGGTTCAGTTCCCAAGCACCCACATGGTAGCGAACACCCATCCTTGATTCCAGTTCCAGGGGATCAGCACCTCCCTCTTCTGGCCTCCATGGGCATTGCATGAACATTGGGTACTTAAATATATGCAAGCAAAACATTCATACACGCAAAATAAAAATAATTTTTTTTAAGATTTTTAAAAGAAAAAGGGATGGGTTATTAGGACTACTGTTTTCTTTTTTCTCTTTGACACTCAAGTAAATAAGCTTCCTTATATTAAAAAAAGATAAAGGCTGGGTGTGGTGACGGACACCTTTAGTCACAAGCACTTAAGAGGCAGAAGCAGGTAGGCTGCTGTGAGTTTGAGGCCAGCCTGGGCTACACAGTGAGACTTTGTCTCAAAAAAGAAAAAAAAAAGGGAAAAAAAAAGAGGAGGAGGAGAAGAAAGAGCACTTAATTTAGCTGAAGATACGGGGTATTAGGGATAACTGAACTAAGTATATAAGAATGGCCAAGCCAATGTGGTGGTACATGCCTGGGATACCAGCACAGGGACACAGGACAAGGGTGAGTTTAAGGCCTGCCTAGACCACATAGTGAGACTCTTACAGGTAAAAGAAACTTTTGTGATTAACCAATGGAAGTCATCTGAACATCAGAGTGTTTTAGACAGAAAACTCCAAGGCAGAGACAGTGTTGGTAGCTCAATGGCTTGTACCAATTAGCACCTATTTGAAAATGGAAACTCAAACCTCCAAGGAAGGGATGCTGACCTTATGTAGCCTATTCTTTCAATCACCAATATCTCCAGGGACCTCTAGAATGTCCAGCAAACGCTAAATTAGAAGGACAAAGCCACAGTCCACTAAAAGCCCATATTCTGAGATTTCCTGACACCAATTTCCCTTTCACAGGTGGTAAAACAGGCTCATGTGCCTCTACCCAGATCACCTTGAAGAGACGGGATAAAGTCACACTTTCTGCCTAGTTCCAGATGTTCAAACAAGACACAGAGCAGAAAATTCTCCTGTATCTTAAACTGTTTTTCTGTGTGAGGACCAACATGTTAAATATGATACTCTTTCATTTTCAATATGCTTAAGAGAATAGAAATCTGAACCAACAAATATAGCAAAGGCATCAGCACAAAATTTATTGGGTTATTTACTAAATAATTCATAACACCCAACATCATTACATGGAAATAATGTTAAAGATGTATAGCAAGGCTCATATTAAGGTCTTTCAAGAAACTAAAAAACTTCTTAGTGACTGTATCTTTAACTAAACTAGTAAATATAACTCAATCAACTCCAAAATTTGATACTGTCCATTTTTTTTTACATAAAAGCAAACATAAAGAAAGTACTCACAACTTAGGAATTACCATGTTTTTGGTTTCTGCTGCAAATGCCACAGAGAGACAGTTGATGAAAGAAAGCCAAATATCTGGTCTCCTCCGTTTTCTTAAAACACGAAGTATGTTCATATAATCATCAGTATAAATATTTACATCCCATCTGACAGATTTCTTCACTCGCATGAACAGGAATGGTCTCCAACCAGTCTGTTCTCTGCTTCATTCCACAGCTGTGTGATTAAACAACCAACAAAGCCTCTGCCCCACTGTACTGGTAGACTGAAATACTAGATAAAAATTCATTATAATTTCTTCCAAAAAAACCAAGACCGTCTCAATATAAATTTGGTGGACAACATACCATAGCATGAAGGGATACTTTGTTTTCTAACAGCAAGTATGTTGAAAATTTTCTTATTACTAAGTGAATTTCACAAGATATACAGAAATAAGTATAAGAACATCCATTAACTTGTCCTGTTATCAATGAAATTAAATTCTAACTATACAAAGTCTATACCCTATTTAATCCTGTGTACCCAACAGCATTAATGCTGAAAATGAGAAACATTTAAATAAATCTCTATTAAGAACTTTAGACACTACTCAGCTTTAAATGGAAGATAAAGAAGGAACAAATTTCTCAGAGATAAATTTTTAAAGAATGGATGTAAGGGGCTGAAGAGATGGCTCAGCGGTTAAGAACACTGACTGTTCTTGCAGAAGACCCGGGTTCAAATCCCAGCACCCACATGGCAGCCAACAACTGTCTGTAACTACAGTTTCAGGGTATCTGACAGCCTCTTCCGACCTCCGCTGGCATTGCATGACACGGGTGCACTTACCTACATGCAAGCATAACACTCATACACATCAAATAAAAATAATAAATAAAATATTTAAAAAGAATGGATGTAAAAGAAAATCCTTTAGACTCTCAGACTTTATTGAATAAAGTAGGCAGGAAGGGAATCAAACATATAAGATATATATTTATTTTTCTGACCAAAGTGCAATGATTTTTAAATCTTTTTAAACATAAAACTATGAAAAAAGTATTCCAGAAAACAAAATACAATGGGAAATTTAACCACTAGTTTGCTTTTTCTAATTTATTTTAACTCTGTATTTAATCTAACAAACAAAACAGAAATCTTGGTTACTAAAATGAGAACTGACTCATATTAACATAAATCTAGCACATGCATTTCAAGATTCCATTGCTAGGAATTTTGTTAATATCAGTTTAACGACGAACAGCACTGTCATAGAGTGCAAGGAACACAAATCAGTAACTGTGATCCTTGCCCCACAGATTAAGTCAGAAGCAAGCTGACAATTCTGCCAGGCTCTCAACCCCCTTTTGTACCAACCCAAATGTTAAAAGCAGACTATGCCTGCCAGACCACTTTACAAAAGCTGTAATAAATCAATGCCTAAGTTTTCTCTTTCTATAGGAAATGGTCAGTTATTTGGTAAATTAAAACACTGGTAGGAATCCATTTTATGAGTTTGTTTACTCAACACCTTGTATAAGAATTTACACAAAAAGTTCCTTTAAATTTGGTCCACAAATTTACTTAATAGGTTGCAATTTTAAAATCCACAGCAAGCAGAAGTGGAAATCCCTAATCCTAACAAGTTGTAATTATGAAAAGGGATACACATGCATACTAAAAAATTTGCTCTCAGAAGGCACAAACCATA